CGCAAGCGCACTCACAATCTGCTCGAGCGTCTTGGTCTTCCACTTCCACTGGATCTGCTGCGTGTTGAGATTGCGCAAGTACGTTTCGAGGTCGCCCATGTCCATGTACTCTTGAACAAGCATGAGGTCCTTTGGCGTCGTCCACGAGACGCCGTGCAGCGCAAGCACGTAGCGGCTGTCCAGTCTACACATAAAAAAATCAGACAAATCGCCGAAAATGCATGGGGGTAGGGTTCAAGCAAGGTGTACCGCGTGGCCGCCAACACTTGCTGAATGCCGGTTTGCATCTCGGACGTGGTCGACGACGACATAAAGAGGTACCGGATCGAGACCACGTGGCCTTCAAAGAGTCCTTTCCAGAGGTCCCCCGTGCTGAGGCGATCGAGGACCACGACTTGATCGAGCGGGAGCCGAAAGTCGCCGAGCAGATCAATGTCCCGCATCGTTTGAAGGTCCTTGACCTGCAGCACGTACGCCGTGTCGTTCTCTCGAGCCGTTCGCTTGGCCTCGCGCTTGTGCTTGTAGTGGCGGCAGTAGAGAAACGCTGCGGCCGCGAGGACAACCGCCGCACCAATGCAGCCGGCAAGGATGACGCTGGCTACATATCGCATGAGCTCCAAGATTTGCCACAGCGTGAACATACTGTTGAGCGCTTTGGCGCCAAACACACAGGCCTTCATGCCCCACAGATCTTCAATCGAGCCGGCGCACGTGGTCGGCGATGCAAACGCAAAGCTAGCTGGCGCCGGCAGCCGCGAGAGGCCGTCGTACGTTGTCCGGTCCATCGAGAAGCTCGAGAGGCTGCACTTGGTGCACGAACTAGACGACGGATCGTGAGCTCACGGTGGTACGGAGGCAAGATGCGAGGCGTACAAGGCTGGTGCATCCGACGTCATTTTCAGGTTGTCGATCGACTGGAGCGGGTTCTCGTCCAAGGTACTAGCGCCAAAAGACTTGAGCCATTGGATTCGAGATATGATGTGACTCACGTACAGCGAGGTCAAGCGAATGCCATCGAGGGCGCCAAAGGCAGTGAGCTGGTTCGCCGCCAGGTTCCTGTATCAAGACATATGAGTCAACCATATCCATGGTATCGCTGTTGCAGCGTACAGGCTCGTGAGCGACGTCGGGAGCGCGTTGGATGCGAGACTCGTGAGCTTGTTGCTGCTGAGATCCCTACGCGGCAACCGTGAGCGCGCATCCCAACACGGACTTGGGTCGTACAAGGCTGCGAGGCTGCTGGCCGCCGTGACCGGTGGCGGTGCTGTCATTCCGGCATTCTGCACCTTCCTACGTAGCGTCCGTCGCATGAGTCGCGCAGCTATTACAAGTTGACACGTCTATACAGCGTGGTGAGGGTATCGGGCAGCGCCGGCCAACCGCGCAGCGACGAGTAGCCCTGGAACGCCCTAGCACACAAGCCGTGAGCGCTCAATCGCATCGTCGAGGATCTACAAGGTGCGAATGGACGGCGAGAGCTGCATGCTGCTGAGGTCGAGGGTCGTGGCCGCGACGCTCTGGAGCGTCCTACTCGCCGCACATGAGCGACTCTCGCGATGGGATCGCTGCGACGTACAGCGTCGGCGCCGTGTAGCTGCGGACGTCGCCCACCAGCGTCATGTCGGTGAACGTCGTCTGCGCGTCCGGAAAGGTCTTGGTCACGTTGCAGGCG